TTGAAGATGACTCGGAGAGAGGAAGTAATGCACTTCTGGCTCGTGCTTGGTCTCCTGGATGGAGTAATGCTGATAAAGCTCTAACAACGTTCATAAACGGACCATTGATTGAATACTCTAAGAACCGCAGGAAAGCCGATAGTGCTACAACCTCGTTTCTTTCTCCACACTTGCATTTTGGGGAAGTGAGTGTGAGAAAAGTTTTCCATCTTGTTCGGATCAAGCAGGTCGCGTGGGCAAACGAAGGAAACGAGGCTGGAGAAGAAAGCGTGAATCTTTTCCTGAAATCGATTGGTCTGAGGGAGTATTCTAGATATATAAGTTTTAACCATCCATACTCCCATGAAAGACCGCTTCTTGGCCATCTAAAGTTCTTCCCTTGGGCTGTGGATGAGAACTATTTCAAGGCATGGAGACAAGGCCGGACTGGATATCCGTTGGTTGATGCCGGGATGAGAGAGTTATGGGCTACTGGTTGGTTGCATGATCGCATAAGAGTAGTTGTTTCAAGCTTCTTTGTTAAAGTTCTTCAATTGCCATGGCGATGGGGGATGAAGTATTTCTGGGACACCCTTCTTGATGCGGATTTAGAAAGTGATGCTCTTGGTTGGCAATACATTACCGGTACTCTACCGGATAGCCGGGAGTTTGATCGCATAGATAACCCTCAGTTTGAAGGTTACAAGTTTGACCCGAATGGGGAATACGTAAGGCGATGGCTTCCTGAACTCTCTAGACTCCCCACAGACTGGATACATCATCCGTGGAACGCACCTGAGTCCGTGCTTCAAGCTGCTGGTATCGAGCTTGGATCAAACTATCCTCGACCAATTGTAGGATTAGATGAAGCAAAAGCACGGCTTCACGAAGCGCTTTCACAGATGTGGCAACTAGAAGCTGCTTCAAGAGCTGCAATAGAGAACGGATCCGAAGAAGGACTTGGAGATTCTGCTGAGGTGGAGGAAGCTCCTATAGAGTTCCCAAGGGACATCACAATGGAAGAGACTGAACCAACCAGACTCAACCCAAACAGGAGATACGAGGATCAGATGGTTCCAAGCATTACTTCTTCTTTGATCAGACCTGAAGAAGACGAAGAGTCGTCTCTGAATTTGAGAAATTCAGTAGGAGATAGCAGAGCAGAGGTTCCGAGGAACATGGTCAACACCAACCAAGCTCAGCAGCGGAGAGCAGAACCGGCTTCAAACCAAGTCACTGCTATGATTCCAGAATTTAATATCAGAATTATTGCAGAGAGCACTGAAGACTCAACAGCGGAATCTTCAAGCAGCGGAAGAAGAGAGAGAAGCGGAGGCATAGTCCCCGAGTGGTCTCCTGGGTACTCAGAACAGTTCCCTAGTGAAGAAAATGGGATTGGAGGAGGAAGTTCAACATCTAGCTACTTGCAGAATCACCATGAAATACTGAACTGGAGACGGCTTTCACAAACCGGGTATGTAACTTGCAAATCCAAGTTTCAGTAATAAGTTCACATAAATATTCTAAACGTTTTCTAATTGAAAGTCTTCATATTTTCAGTAAGTTCAATCTTCCTAAACTATTCAAATAAATCGTCGATTTCTGTAAAGGACATAGGCTTTCAGCATCCTGATTTGTGACCGGCTTCGCGCTTTGGCACACTTGTCTAACCAAGTAGTATTAGTTTTAAATTGAATTGAGCTGAAATGGTTTAACTGTTTTCAAATTCAAGTGTTTACATTTTCAGTAGACCACAGGTAAAAGGTTGAGTTAAACTGTCAAAGCTTTTATTTTTACATTGGTCTAACCAAGTAGTATCAAATGTATTGTGGTTGTCTGGTTTTACAGGTAAAAGGGTATTTGGAGGTGCAAAAGGAGAGGAACGTCTTAAGGGCTTTAACTCCGGTTAAATCTGGGTGGACTGTAAACCGAGTATACATTTGGTACGGTTTAATGTATTTCCTGTTATGGGACTGGAGAGAAACTATGTAGGAGTTTGTCTGATGTACATTTTTTATTTCTCTGGTTCCATCATGTTATAATACACTGTATAGTAAGTAGTATGTTGCTTGTGGTATTAGACCAGGTCTCATACTTGTTGGCTTTCAAAGTTTTGGTTATAAGTCAAACACATGCCAATTCTTAATCTTTAAAACATATATAGTTCACATTTATGATTAATGACTTGTTAGTGTATGTGGAACACGTCTACTTGAATATACAAAACCTCGTCACAACGAATTAAGTTCTCGGCCTCTAACCAATACGTCTCATATGGGAATCCCCCACTCACAAAGAATAAGAAACTAGAAGAAAATTCCAATATCTCAAGCGCACACAGAGAACACAAATATAAAGACTCGAACTCTCTTTAATTCTCTAACTTTCGGTTGCTTCTTATTGTCTCTCTCAACTTCACTTTGTTTCTCTCACGTCTCTCTTGTGTTGTGTCTCTTACGTCGTCTGTGTCTCTTGCTTTAGACCTCTGAAGCTGTTGTAATCCTTTTGTATATATCAAAATCAAAATCCTAACGTTGCTTCTCTGTTTCTTTTGTGCAGCCAAATAAACTAGATGGGCCAGCTTTGATGATTTGGCCCCAGGAGAGAATTCACTGAAGTCCATACTTCATAGATGTGTTATCTGTTGTTATAATACGTAAACTAGATGATCGACTAGCGCCATGCCCATGTGGGATGTGGCCATGTGCTACTGTGCTAGTATGAGTATTTTTTTTACCGCAAACTTCTTGAATGACTAGCATAACGAACAACGTAATTCTTATCAACCATAACTTGTTGGAATTCTCACTTTTCGTACACTTAGGTTTGAACTCTCGATCTCTCTTATTCTCTGTTTCAAGCACACACATCTCTCTATCTCTCTGTTTTGGTTTGCCAAGCACAAAACGTTGGGAAAGCTTAGAGAGATAATCATTTGAATGCTACATTTTGTTTATTTGGATCTCTTGGATACCAAGATTGGTCTCCGGATTGCTCTTGTAGCATAACTTCTTGGTTTTGCTCTAAAATGATCCATAATCTTCAAATTGATCCCGTACATGAATAAACCTGAAAAAAGACTAGAAAAGACTCTAGAAATAACAAAAATACTCTAAAAATAATACATATACCATGACTAAAATCCGTAAAAACCATGATAAATCACTTTTCTTACAAGACACTAACACACACACATATAGTGGTTTTCCAACTAACCACACACACTTGCACCCATACTTCTACTTAGACTTAGACCTTAATTCTAGACATCATTACCCTAAGGTAGAACCAAACTTACAAGCAAGGTTTAAAGTTCAGAGCCGACTTGCTCTGATACCAATTCAAATCAAGATCACCATATCTTGACTGCTCTGATGCCCAATTCAAATCAGGATCACCTTACCCTGACTTAATCGCTGACTGATTCAGAAAGTAGTTCAGCAACATAAGAACTTGAAAGATATAAAGAACGACTTTTCTTTATTGATTTAGAAACTTCACAAAACTAAATCTCTCTAGGTCTTTTGAAACAACTCTCCAAAGCCTTATCTCTTGGGTCTTATGGAACAACTCTCCATAAGCCTCTTCTTCTCTCTTTTAGGTCTTATGGAACAACTCTCCATAAACTTTTTCTTCTCTCTTTAGGTCTTATGGAACAACTCTCCATAGACTCTTCTTCCTATATAGAACTTAGCTACCCCTAAGTCTATATGAGTCTCTTCCTCTAGACTCTCATGAGATCGGTCTCAACACCTCCACGTGTCTCGACTCTCTTCTTGAGCTCTCTCATTTGAGCTACTCGAGCTCCCCGCTGAGCTTCTCTCACGAGCTCCCTCTGAGCTACACGTTGAGTCTTGAGCTCCCCGCTGAGCTTCTTCTCTTGTTCTTCATAAGGCTCTTATTTATACTAGAACCAAGCTTCTTCTTTGCCTATTGTGAATAGAAAGACTTACAAAACTTGTCCAACTTGACATTATTTGTATTTCCTTTTCTCTTGATTTCCTTTCTTGGATTTCCTTTCCTGTATCTCTTCTAGCATCTTCTAGAAGGAGATAACTTGCTCCTCAAGTTAGATGGAATTATCCAACATTCTCCCCCTTAATTCCAACTTGAATTTGAATTCCGGGAAGCTTGATTCTCGCCAATGCCTTACTAAGTGTGTCCGTCTTCTGCTCCACACCTTGAACATTCTCAACTTCAACCTTTGTTGAGATACGATCTCTTGCTCCTCCTTAGCTTTTGAGATCTTTAAATTTGACATCTTCAAATTTGACTGCATCTTAGTATCCACAAGCATTCCTTGAGCATCTCCCTCTTGTTCTGCTCCTTGAATTACTTCTTGTACTAGTGCTTGTACTACTTCAACGATTCCTTGAACACAACCTTCTTGTTCTGCTCCTTGAATCATGTCTTGTACTACTTCATGTAATACTTCATGTATTACTTTAGCGAGAAGTATTTCTTGAGCACAAACCTCTTGTCCAACTCCTTGAATAACTTCCTGTAGTACTCTCTGTACTACTTCAACGACTAGTACAGAATACCCAAATATCATAACCCGACTTGGTTTGATATTCTCTAGACCCCGACTTGGTTCTAGCATCTCTAGAATCCGACTTGATTCTAGCATCATTAGAACCCGGCTTGGTTCCAATATTGACCAATCATCAACCTTCTTGAGATTCGGCCTCGTGATCACACTTCTTGACCAATCATCTACTATCTTGAGATGCGGCCTCATGATCTTCTTAGCTTTTAGTAAGCTTGAATGATGTTCGGCTTCTCCCCACATATCATTCAGAATCTTCATTAGGTGCCTAGAGACTCCTCCTCTATGCAACCTCGAATCTTCATTAGATGCTTAGAGACTCCTCCTCTATGCAACATCGAATCTTCATTAAATGCCTAGAGACTCCTCCTCTATGCAACATCATCGAATCTTCATTAAATTCCTAGAGACTCCTCCTCTATGCAACATCATCGAATCTTCATTAAATGCCTAGAGACTCCTCCTCTATGCAACATCATCGAATGCCTAGAGACTCCTCCTCTATGAAACATCGATTCTTCATTAGACGCCTAGAGACTCCTCCTCTATGCGTAATCGATTGAGCTCCATAAACTCTCCTCCTCTATCGGTGCGAAAGGTTTTGATGGACAAGCCGGCTTGCTTCTCCACACACTCTTCAAACCTTTTGTACCGATCGAAAACTTCAATCGATATGTCAACAAGGAACCACCTGTTCTTGTTGATCTTGGCTCGTCTCTCACTTTCAACATAAGCTTGCTGGAACAATCTGGAAACTGTTTCGGACTTCAGAACATAGTCTTCAAGGTACTGCAGCTGATTCACTTGTCGACCAGACCTTGTCAGCTGTGGTACTCCTTGAACTACTTCACCAACCTCATCCTCGTGGTTGTCTTGAGTGATATCCTCCATGACATCATCTTATTCATGTCCTTCTCCAGCATCTTCTCCGCGAATCAACTCCAAAACTTATATGACCTAACCGAGCATGCCATGTTCTTGTATATTCATTAGCAATTCATTCACTCAGTCCTTCAGCGAGTCCTTCAACTAGTCCTGCAGCAAGTCCTTCAGCACGTCCCTCAGCAAGTCCTTCAGCTTGCAGACATGTTGCCTTGCTTATCTCCAAACAACTTGATGCTGACCAGCCTTGTCGCATCACTTTGGATAAATTTTACTTCTACTTTTGGTTGTGATCACCGGTTACTCCTCCTTGAGCTTGCAAGATGGACCTTCCTTGTCCCATGCCTCTGCCGGAACTGTCACCTCCAAAGCTTCCTCTACCATAACCAACGTAGTTATAGCTTCCTCTGTTATAATGTTTTCTTGTTATAACCGCCTCAGTTTCCTGGTCGAAACTTCCCGTAGCGTCCACGCTTAGGGTTTGAGGTCCTTGGTCTTCACTTTGGGTTTCTTCCCAACACGTTCTTCATACTCCAGTAACCTCCCAACAATTTCTTCAAACCCTATCCGCTTTAGGTCAAGAACTTGCTCCAGGGATGCTACAATATGAATGAACTTGTTTCGTGGTTGTGGATTCTCGCCTGCCATACTTGCTTACGAGACACATACCACCGGTCTTGTCTAGAGTCTTCAAACTAAGCTCTGACATTGTACAGAGTCTTCAAACTAAGCTCTGCCATACCACAGGTCTTGTCCAGAGTCTACAAACTAAGTTCTGAACTTGTACAGAGTCTTCAAACTAAGCTCTGCCATACCACAGGTTTCGTCCAGAGTCTTCAAACCAGAAGCTCTGCTACCAAATAAAGTTCAGAGCCGACTTGCTCTGATACCAATTCAAATCAAGATCACCATATCTTGACTGCTCTGATGCCCAATTCAAATCAGGATCACCTTACCCTGACTTAATCGCTGACTGATTCAGAAAGTAGTTCAGCAACATAAGAACTTGAAAGATATAAAGAACGACTTTTCTTTATTGATTTAGAAACTTCACAAAACTAAATCTCTCTAGGTCTTTTGAAACAACTCTCCAAAGCCTTATCTCTTGGGTCTTATGGAACAACTCTCCATAAGCCTCTTCTTCTCTCTTTTAGGTCTTATGGAACAACTCTCCATAAACCTTTTCTTCTCTCTTTAGGTCTTATGGAACAACTCTCCATAGACTCTTCTTCCTATATAGAACTTAGCTACCCCTAAGTCTATATGAGTCTCTTCCTCTAGACTCTCATGAGATCGGTCTCAACACCTCCACGTGTCTCGACTCTCTTCTTGAGCTCTCTCATTTGAGCTACTCGAGCTCCCCGCTGAGCTTCTCTCACGAGCTCCCTCTGAGCTACACGTTGAGTCTTGAGCTCCCCGCTGAGCTTCTTCTCTTGTTCTTCATAAGGCTCTTATTTATACTAGAACCAAGCTTCTTCTTTGCCTATTGTGAATAGGAAGACTTACAAAACTTGTCCAACTTGACATTATTTGTATTTCCTTTTCTCTTGATTTCCTTTCTTGGATTTCCTTTCCTGTATCTCTTCTAGCATCTTCTAGAAGGAGATAACTTGCTCCTCAAGTTAGATGGAATTATCCAACAAGGTTTACCAACAACTCTAACTACTCTAGTTTAGCTAACACTTAACAAACAAAACATACTTTCACATTTTGGGCCTAATTCTCTTGTAGCCCATTACAACAAAACACAAAGCCCATCTTCTTATTCTGTTGACTTTGTTTCTTCTCTTTGTGTCGTTGATTCCTCCACACGACAACTCTTCTTCTATTCGACGACTTCTCGTCTTGCTCCTCCTTCGCTTTGCTTCTTCTTCTTTGACTAATTCTTCTATTCTTATTGTAGGTTTAATGGAGGACTCAACTCTCAACATAACCTTTATCTTCAACCATACAATACGAATTATAGAGAAAGGAGACTGACTGTGTTAGGACCAAAAATAAAGGAATACCTATAGACCTTTTTTAGGAGGATAAAAAACAAACAAACATTTTCATCGACCAAGATCAAGAACAATGCCAAAGCTTCTCCGGGTGGCATAAGAAAGACTCTTTAGACTTTCATGCAGATGTGCCAACCTGATATCCATGGCCCTATCTAGGAGATTTGGTGAAATCTTTCCATCAGAGATGTGAACACATTAACGATATAGATATTTTTTATAGTTTTGTTGCATTTTAAGAAAAACCCTAACACCGTTTATCTTAAAGAGGGGATGCGAAAAGGGCACTATATATAATAAACCTTCACGATTATGCAACCAAAATTAGAGCGAGCGTGAGACGTGTTACTTCATGTATAATATTCGAATTTTTGCATACACAACCACCAAATATGGAAAGGCATTCATCATTAATTGTATTGTATTGAATAGCAAGATTTGATTAAAACCTACAAATTAAAGTTTTAAAAGAGCATACAACTTATCAAAGATTTACTTGCTAAGATACGTAAAACTAATTGAAAAAGTTATGTGTATTCACATAGTTCCATATATTTCAAATATGGAAATTTATTTGATTTAATAATAGAAACGAAGACAAGAATCAGACTTACAAATTGAAGCATATATGGTTATAGAAAGACAAGAAACTGTATTTCACCGGAAAACTCTTCAAACTAGCAAAGACAAAATGGTATTGATTGCCATGAGAAGAGTAATACACAGCATCTCGGAGTAGCTGATTGGGTGATGTTGCACTTGCAGAGAACAAACATATATTTGAGCACGCAAGCAAAAAAAAAAAACCACTGAACTTCGAACATAAGAGCACGCAAGCAAGAAACCCTTATTAATGTCTGTAATTTTACACCACTTCTCTGTAGCACTCAAGAGAAATTCATTACATCTTCATAAAAAAAAACTATTGCTCTCTTCTCCTCGTCATTGAGGAAACTCACTTCAGTGAGTAGTCTCATCTCAATAATTGTTAAAAACTTGCTCCACGACACCGCTTTGTGCCTAGACATCAAACATTCGTGGGACGTTATTGGGATTCCTATTTGTTATATACGGTCCTGGCGGTCTGATAGGTCAGAGTCCTAAAATGTAGAAGCTGATGGCGAATCAAACCTAATACATTTTTTTACAATGAAGAGATGCAACATTCCAAAACTAGATTTGCGGGTCTTTTAGTTCACTTTGGTATATTATATTTATTCAAAAGTTAATTAAAAAATATGACATCAACAAGTTTTCAATAACCACATTTACAAAGAAAAAAAAATTTGCCAGCGAACAATGGTAACTACTTATTCAAATAAAAAAGAGAATAACAGTCAAAACTATAGTCATCAAAATTTAAAGTTACCCCAATAAGAAGATTTTTTTCTTTTCCAGTATTTTAGGTCTCTTTATAAGGGTCATGTAATCATGTAACAAGTAAATCATCTCTTGTGTTTCTTTGTGGAATTTGTTCAAAATATTGTATCTGTGTGATTCGTGTGAGGTAAGGAGAAAACACTTCCCATTGATGAGTTAGGTCATCAAAATTCGATAAATGTGTGATGAGCTTTTTTGGTTGTATCATATCGTTTTTCTTTTTAATTTTTTTTTTTAAGCTTTACATTATTATAATTATTAAGTAAGGTTGTTTATTCAGATATATTCGTTTGATTTTTATTGTTGTAAAGTTGTTAATGTCAAAATACCTATATTGATCTATTTTCTCTTTGTGTGGGCGATGAAGTTGCTGTCAATTTCAAACCATGGTAGCTCAGAGGCCAACTATGAGTGATGCACGTGAGTACCTCAGAATTGTGGAGAATAAGTTTCAAGACAAACCTGAGAAATTTAGAACATTGCTTAAGCTCTTGCATGACTTCAGATCTCGGAGGTATTTTGATTTGTTTTTCTCCTTTTTATCGATTGGTAATACAATTGCACAAGTTTTAGCTCTCAATGAAAAACTAAATTTGCTCATCTTTTCATGGTAGAATTGGTACTAAGGATGTCATAACAATTGTGAAAGATCTTTTCAAGGGGCAACGAGAGCTGATTTTAGGTTTCAATACCTTCTTACCAAAGGAGTATGAGATAAAACTCGAGGATGTCAAAGCTCCGTCACCGATTACTGTTGGCTTTAGCGATGCAATTAGCTTTATCAACAAAGTCAGGGTAGGTGCACTATATATGCCTAGGTAGAATATAGGGGTGGAGAATTTGGTTAACGGTTCAAATTTTTTTTTGTTTTTGGATCAATCAATTTTCTCAAAAAAATGATGTCAGATAAATAATTTTAGTCTAGTATTACTAAAATTTATGATATTGTTTTTTAATTTTAATTTTGCCATTTTTCAATTAATTATCATTTGTTAATTTGTAGATAAGGTTTGAGGATGATGTTGCTGTATATAGAACATTTATAACTATGCTAAGCATGTTTCAGAAGGGTAGAATGAGCCTTAGTGAGGTCTACAATGAGGTATTTTTATATATATGTGTGTAATATTAAAAAAAAAAATCTTACATTGTTTTCATATTGGGTTTAGTGATATGTTTTATTACTTTATTTTGCAGGTGAATCTCCTTTTCCAAGAGCATAACGACTTGTGTTTGGAATTTTATAACTTTCTCCCTTAGTGAAAGTGCAGATTTATCTACAGAGAAGGGTGGAAGTTGATTTGAATAAGCTAGGAAGATATGAGTTATATCTTCAATAAATCCATGTTGTATCAGTCGTTTGTTTTGTGAACTGGTAACTTATTTCTATTATTTTCCCATCATATTATGAATAAAACACAGCTTACTTAACAAATTTCTTACACAATAAGTTCTTTTGAAATCTCCCAAATAATCGTTGTAAAGTTTTTTTTTTTATATATATATTAGGTAAAAACACAAATATATAGTTTAGATATCTTAAAACGTGGTAGATATAGGTTTATAAATATTTAGAGGAGGTCGATACCTATCATGGTCAAGACGTTATAGGGTTTACATTTTGAGTAATAATCGAATCGAAATGAGTACATATTTTTCAGCCTATGTTTTTAAATCAATTTAGACGTGTTTTGTTTGTTGTGTTTTCAGTAATAATGTATCTTTATTAATAGATCAGTTCATTAACAAAAACTCGGTAATCAACCAAAATGAGAGCGAACGTAAGACGTGTTACTTCATATCTTCTATATAATATGTAAGATATATGCAGATTCTTGATATTAATTGAATTATTTCTCTTCCTAGGTTTCACATTCGGGGGATGTATGTGCTTAGAACACTTTTTCCTTTTTTCATACGATACGAATTCTAGCACACGTAAGCACCAAAAAATATAAAGCGTTGATCATTCAGCTCTATAGCAAGATATGATTAAAACCTACTAATAGCATACAAATTTTTGAAGATTTACTTGCTAAGATACGTAAACTAACTGAAAAGCTAATCTTTAATTAAAGAGTTTTGTGCCAAAAAAATCTTCAAAGTCGCCAATTTTTGTAACTTTACCCTCCACTTCCGATCCAAAAATGCAAAATGATCCTATGAAGTCTAAAATAATAGGCAATATAGCATTTTCGCTATTGTCAAGTTTTTAAAATTTTAATAAATAATATATTAAATCGAAACCCTCGAGACGAGGAGTTCAAATCTACCTTTAAAATTTTAAAAATCAAATGTACGTGATCGTGAAAACATTTACAATATGTATAAGGGCTATATTGCCTACTATTTTTGACTTCATAGGATTATTCTGCATTTTTTTGAGGCGAAGGGTAAAGTTGCAAAAATTAGCGACTTTGAGGGTTATTTTGCACAAAACCCTTAATCAAAACTTGATGGTTTAGTTGAAAGTTCATGCTTTAAAAGTTTGTATGCTCTTTTCAAACTTGACGAAATTAAAAATTTGTATCCTCTTTAATTTTAAAACTTTTGAAACTGAGCTCTTGTTGACTTCGCAAATTGAGGCACGTGTAAATGGAGGAATCAGACGGGGTTTAACTTGCCGTTGATGATATCCGTTATAATACTAAACGATGTTGTTTTAATTATTCCAACTAAAATCCCCAAATCGATTTTGTTTCTCTTAAATGTAATCCTAGATCTAATTTCACTTCGATTTCTCTCTTCATTAAGTACTTGACAGTCTTCAACAAGACTTGATGATTTAATTGAAAGTCAACAAAAAACTTAAATGAGTATTTAATTAACTAGGTGAAGAGTTCATGTTTTGTTTCAACGAAATTGCACAGTTCATACTCTAAATAACATTTTTCGCAATCTACATTATACATAGTTCCATATATTTCTAATATGGAACAATTTATTTGTTTCAATGGTAGAAACGAAGACAAGAACTAGACTTAGTTTGTAGCATATGTGGTTAGAGAAAGACAATAAAACTGTATATATTTACCGGAAAACTCTTCAATATAGCAAAAGAAAAAAATGGTATCACCATGAGAAGAGCACTTGAGTGATGTTACATGTACAACATGTCGGAAGTAGCTGTAATATTAGTATTACACAACATGTCGGAGTAGCTGGTTGAGTGATGTTACATTTGCAAACAACAAACATAAGAGCACGCAAGCAAAAAAAAAACATTACATGAGTCTTGGATCTCATTAGGAAAACAATCAGAGTTGATTCAAAAGTAAGAAGTTTTTAAAACTTTACTCACTAGATCCAAGACTCAAAAGACCACTGAACTTGGAACATAAGAGCACCCAAGCAAGTAACCCTTATTGTTTGTAAATTTATCGAGATTCACGTCTCTGTAGTATTTGCTTTCTACAAGGATGTAAGCTGTGTAGAGAGCGGGATTCATTACATCTTCATCAAATATAACTACAGCCTTTTCTCTTCATTAATGAGGAAGCTCACTTCAGTGAGTCGTCTCATATCAGTAACTTCTTATAACTTGCTCCACAATACCATGTTAGGCTCAGACTGCAAACATTCGTTGGACAGGATTGGGATATATCATAGTATAAAAACTTAAAATATGTATTTTCTACAAAATTTAATCAAAAATATATATTAACAAGTTTTTCTATAACCACATTTACCAAAAAAAAAAAAAAAAAAAAACCACTTGGGGTCCTTGTAACTGCTCCTCCATGCTCCTCTAGGGGACCTGACTGTTACACTTGGGGTCCTTCTAACCACAAGAAATCTTTTTTCTCCACAAAAACCACTTGGAACTTCTTTAGGCCCTCTCAGGAAAGGAAACTTTGGTCTCCGGCGGTGTGGTTCAAGAATTTTGTGCCTAGACAAGCTTTCACCTTCTGGATTGCTACCTGTTGGTTCTTCTCACTATTTTGGCTATGTACTTTGTCAGGATCTGTTTGCTTTGTTTGTGTTTTGTTGCAGAAGAAGAAAACAGAGGAGAAGAGAAGAGAGAACAGAGGAAGAACAGAGGCGACACAAGATTTACAAGTTCCCAAGGTCAAGGTGACCAAGGTACGTCTTGACTCTCTAGACCTTTCCGCTTGCTACTCACGCTCTCTGTTCTTGTCTTTACTCTTTGCTTACCCTTTTATACACCTCTGACACGCTCCCCTTGACAGCTCATGCATCAAACCTAGGCCTAACAAACCTTATCATTGTGTAGCCGTTGCACCCGTACACACATGAAGACAAAAGCAAGAGTGTTGACTGAGATTCATGGGCTTTGACAAACACTGCAGTCTTCCTGGGCCTAAGTGAAGATTCGCAGGCCCAACTACAGTTTCTTACTAGCCCATCAGGAGGAATACCGGATCGAATCCTCACATACTCCACCTCGATCCTGATTCCGACGTATACCCGAGAAAACCAAAAGTCCTCCTTGTCTTCTCCGTCTGTTCCGATTGTCTTGTCGGAACCCTAGCTCACTTCCGAGCTAGTGTCAGTGTCTAAGCACTCTTAGATCGCTACGCCCATTCTCAAATTTCTTCACTGGTAGTGGTTTAGTGAGGAGGTCAGCTGGATTGATGCTTGTATCGATCTTAGTTAGGACCAGATCTCCTTCTGCTATCACATCTCTCATGAAGTGGTAACGGATCTGGATGTGCTTCGTCCTTTCGTGGAAGACACTGTTCTTAGCCAAACAAATGGCGCTTTGCGAGTCACAGAAGATCTCGACTGTCTTCTGCTCAAACCCTAGCTCACTGGTAATTCTCTTTAACCATAGAGCTTCATTGGTTGCTTCTGCTAGAGCCATGTATTCAGCTTCTGTTGATGATACTGCGACTATGTGTTGCAGTGCCGATCTCCAGCTCACCGTGTTTCCTCCGACTTGGAAAACATAGCCGGTGATTGATCTTCTCCGATCAAGGTCAGCTGCATAATCACTGTCGCAGAATCCCTTTATCTCGAACTTGTCAGCCTTCTTGAAGGTAAGGTGACACTTCGAACTTCCTTTTAGGTATCTTAATACCCAATTAACTGCATTCCAATGTTCCTTGTTAGGAGAACTCATATAGCGGCTCACCAACCCTACTACGTGAGCAATGTCTGGTCGCGACCCTACCATTGCGTACATAAGGCTTCCGATTGCGCTTGAGTAAGGTATGTTTCTCATTTCAGATTCTGTCTCAGCTTTTTCATCTTCCTTGGTACTCCTTAGTTTGAAATGACACCCAATTGGTGTTTGAACCGGCTTAGCATCAGTGATACCAAAATTCCTCAGAATTTTATCAATATAGGCTTCTTGGGATAGAATTAAGGTACCTTTAGTTCTGTCTCTGATAATGTCCATCCCTAGAATCCTTCTTGCTGGTCCTAAATCTTTCATCTCAAACTCTGTGCTTAGAATCCTCTTAACCTTCTCAACCTCTTCCAGATCCTTTGCAGCCACTAACATGTCATCTACATATAACAGTAGATAAACATACTTTCCCTCATCATAACACTTGAAATACACGCATGAATCATAATCACTCCTCATGAACTTCTGAGTATTCATGAACTTATCAAACCTTAAGTTCCACTGCCTTGGAGACTGTTTAAGGCCATATAGGGATTTTTGTAATAGACAAACCTTGTTGCCTTGTGCATAACCTTCAGGCTACTCCATGAGTATCCTTTCTTCAAGATTTCCATGCAAGAAGGCTGTTTTCACATCTAGCTGCTCTAGTTCAAGATCCAACTCCACAACCATTGATAGCATTAACCTTATAGTGGTGTGTTTCACCACTGGTGAGAACACTTCATTGTAGTCTATCCCTTCCACTTGAGCATAGCCTTTTGCAACCAACCTGGCCTTAAATCTTGGTTCTTCAACCCCTTGAATCCCTGGTTTCAACTTGAATACCCATTTGCAACCAATCACTTTATCTCCTTCAGGTCTCTCAATTAGTTTCCAAGTCTGATTCTTCTCATGTGAAGCCATTTACTCATCAGTAGCACCTTTCCATTTCAGTTTATCAACACTGTTCATTGCTTCTTGATAGTTCCATGGTTCTTCAACCTCTACCAATTCAGCCATATTTAGTGCATATGCAGCAACATCACTGTCATCGAATCTACTTGGTGGTTTGATAGTTCTTCTTGCTCTATCTCTAGTTAAGAGATAATCTCTCAAACCTGTAGGTGATTCCCTTGAATCAGTTTCCTGTTCTGAGCTTTCCCCAGTTTCTAAGTCCTGAGAAGCTCCACCTCCGGCTGAGGACTCACCCTGTTCTCCTGTTTCCACATTTAAGTGACTATCTTCTGTATTATGATATCTATCT